ACTTTGGAGGGCAGGAGAGAGATTTTTTTTTTTGCACCCAGGATGCAATGAAAAAAAGAATTTTTTTCCCAGGAAGGAAAGAAAAACCAACAGGGAGAACTTCCGAAAGCTCCTTTAAACTGACTAATCAATACAGGTAGTCCTCGACTTACAACCACAATCCAGCCCAACAGTTATGTTGTTAAGTGAGATAACTGGTTCAGTGGGTTTTGCCCCACTTTACTTTTCTTGCCACAGCTGTTGATAACCCCGTTGTTAAGTGAATCCAGCTTCCCCACTGACTTTGCTCATCGGAAGGTATTCCCCACGATCCCGGGGGAGACATTGTAACCTTCATGAATATGAACCAGTGGCCCAGCATCCCAATTTTGGTCGCGTGATCGTGGAGCTGCTACAACGGTCGTTAAGTGTGAAAAACCTCCCCCCCCTCAGGGACGTTGTAAACTTCCAACCGCCGCCCAAACGCTGTAAGTCGAGGACTACCTGTGTGTACATAAACATCTCCCATTCAGGAGAGAGGCGCTTCTACTCCGGCTCTCCTGCGGGAAATGGCCCCGACCGACGGGCCGCCGCTCACCTTTTTAATATTGGACTTGGAGGCGGGATGGAAGTCCTTCTTGCACATGAAGTTAGCGAAGGATTTCCCCATGGCGGCGAAGAGGAAGCAGCTGGTCGGAGAAAGCGGCGGCCCTTTTTACGTTGCGACGGTGTCTTTTTGGCTTCCTCCGCCCCACTTCTGTTTACTTCACCCGGCCCAGCTCCGGCTTTGACCCGGGGCTTCCGGGGCGAGACCGGCAGCAACAGCGACGTTTTGTACAAGCGGGAGGCGGCCGGAAAGCAACCCTGGCGGCCCGCCTGGTAGGATTGGACGCCGACTGGGAAGGCGGAAAAAGCATCAGCGCGGCGCCTGCTCCGCGCAAGGCAAAGGCGGTGACGCCAGACCGACTGGTGGATCTGACGTCAGACTTTGTTTTCCCATTAAGTAAGAAAATCCCAGGGGGGAAAAATAAACGGCTATCCGACCCATCGGGCTTGGGTGAAATAGAAATAACAAAGGGGGGGGGGGTGCAGATTGACAACCGAAAACCAATCGAGCCACCTGAAGCAATGTGGCTTCAGCAGGGGAAAAACAACAGCTTTGCTCGTTTGTGGGTGTGATCCGTTCGCCTGTTGTTGCTTTGACAGTTTGCAAATCTTTGCAAAAGTTTTACAACTACAACTACTCGCGCGCCTTCGGGCTTGTTCTGGCTTTGGCCCCGGGGGAAGGTCTGGGTGGCTTTAGCTCCGGTTGCGCAAACTAGCAGGGTCTGGTTGACACACGTCAAGCCATAAAACCGGGCTTGCCAAGCCAGTATGATCAAGGGAGAACCGATGCATGAACCTTAAGACGGAGGCAAAAGCTGTACTGTAGCTGCAGATCTAGAGCCTGAACCTTAACACCCGGGTCACGGCACCTTAACCCTGTTGGTCTATTTTTATTCGTGCAAACAGCCTAAGAACTAGTGAGTAAGCCCTGGAGTTGCTGCTGTTTGGAAAATAAATCTTCCTCCTATTGGTCTTCCAGCAGCTCTGTTCTGAGAAGCATCCAGGTTGGGAAAAGCTGCAATGTTTGGGACTAACTTGTGCTAGTGGAGAATTTCCCTGTTCGTCTTTCTGACAGCTGCTTTATTTAGTCTGACAGTGTTTCCCTTCTTCCTTCCCCCTTCTGGTTTCTTAGGTGCAGTGCAGTTCTTACTTGATATGCAATTCCTCGTCTTGCCTGTTCCATTTAAAAAAAATCCTACTTTTTTATATACAAAGTAGAAAACATAACAATATTCCCTCCTCCTATTTTCTCCACAACAACAAAGCTGCAAGGTGTTTGAGAGTGACCACTACCCAAAGTCACCCAATTAGCTTTTCATGCCCAAGGAGGACTAGAACTAACAAGTCTCCTGGTTTCTAAGTCTGCATCTTAACCACTCCGCTTTCACATACAGTATTTACTTATTCGTTTACCTGCCTGGCATCTGATCTAAAAAAAAACCAGCTGGATTGATGCAGCCTATTTTGTAATTCAAGTAGATAGAGAGATCCACTCTTAAGATGAAATTGAGTCATGAATGATATTTCTTCTAGAACAGTGATGGCTGAGTGCCGAAAAGGTCACGCACATGCGTGCGCTTGTCGGGGCTGTGTTCCAGAAAAGCCAAACTTCTGGGTTCTAGCACGCATGTGCACCTGACAATTCAGCACTGCTGTGCATGCGAAGGACGCACATGTGCGCAAGAAACCCAGAAAACAACAGGCACGGCTGTGTGTACCTAGCAACATGGCTTCCCATGCTACTTTGGGCACGCATACCATAGGTTGGCCATCACGACTCTAGAACTTGTAGAGATTTCTATAACCTTGTCAGTAATAAAGAGTGGAGAAAACAATTAGATGGTGGATGTCTCTAAAAGATCTAAAATTCTCCTGTTCTCTACGTCAGTATTTGTAAACTATGCTTGCTTGGAATTCTGGGAGTTGAAGTCTACATATCTTAAAAGCTGCTAAAGTTGAGAAACACTGGTCTAGTCACACAGCTCTGTTCAACAGTTTATATTAGTCCAGATATATGAGAGAGAATTTGTTACAGCAACATGTGTGATCTTGTGCAATGTATTTCACTATATTTTTTTGTAAAACATCTATCTTAAGGGAAATTACGATAGTGGTTCATCCATTATGGAGCAATCAGAGAGATATGATTGTTTATTACTTTATTTTTCAGGATGGCTAATAGTATTGCTGAACCCTTTTCCTGTGATACTTTTGTGGCTCTGCCTCCAGCCACACTAGGTGGCCGAATCATCTTTGGAAAAAATTCTGATAGGCCTTCCGATGAAGTCCAGGAGATTGTGTTTTTTCCTGCTGCTGTTCATGATCCGGGACAAAAAGTTGAGGTGAGAGCAATAATTCTAGAAATATCATAAAACCTATTGGGAAGTTTGATCTGAGAAACTTTCAAGATAAAATAAACATATTTATATCCAAAATCACATGCTTGGGTAATTGTAAAGCTTGCCTGCATGGGTAGCTGCATGGAATTGAAATGATGAAATGTGCATTGCGGTTTTTTGATGCAAACTATGTTACCTGTAAACTTGCAGTCAAATCTGGACACGGGTTCAAAAAAGAGAAGGAGAGACAGAGGGAGAGATTTATTTTGTGATGTCACAATGTATCTTTTATCCTTCTTGCATCATTGCGGTTTCTAGTAGACACCTATACTGGATTGAAATTGTAAACCAAGAATGGCTTATTCCAAATCTGATAATTGGAATTGGATAATACAAATTAGCTATCAGGTTTGGCTCAAGGTTGCAATTAACCATCCTGTGGTTTGTCTGATTTGGGGTTTTGTGTATTCTGCACACTCAGCCATTACAATGTATAAACTGTGGTTTATGATTTAATTCATTATTTAATCCAATCCAATCATAATCCAAACCATGATTAAGCAAATGATGGTTTAGCACAATATATATGATTCTAGCTATTATTATTTGCACCAAATGGAAATAATTCTCCATAATTCCAGGCATCAATCTTTCCTAGTTCTATGGTATTTTAAGAATTTTTGCAGGCAAATACATTATTTAATCCTTTTCATCAATATTTGGTTTGGTATAGAGGGTCAGAACAAGTAAAATTTGAATGATTTTTCTCTTTTTCTTTCACAATGAGAGATAGATAACTCAAGGTCATTCCAACAAAATATATTCTCTATCTTAGAATACTTTTAGGGTATAGGCCAGTAAAATGAGGACCCAGATTGTTGGGGGAAATATGCTACATTGTAAACTGCTTAGCACTAAGAAGCAGTATATACGTCTAAGTGCTGTTGCTATAGCCCCATATCCTAAATTTAAAGGTAAAATCTTGCATGAAGATAGTTCTGCTGAATTTAGATATAGTTTTCATAAGAAATATGGTCTTAAAGGCAGGATTTGAACCCATAAATTGCTACATTCAGTCTCAAAAGATTATGGAATCATGCTCTGGAAAGAGGTCCTAAGGCAGCATCTGGTGTGGCTAAAAAGGCCAATTTGAGAGTGGCAATCCCTTCCACACTGAGGATAGATACATTCTGGCCCCTGCCCAGTCCCCAGATTTTGCTGGTTCCAGGACATTTAGACAATACGCACAAATGTGCCCTTGTTGCCTTCCACTGGAACCTGTAAATTCCAGGACCTCATTTTGTTCAAAAGAATCTCATAATTCCAGTGAGAGGTTTGCGGGCCCCAGAGCACTATGGTAAAAGCTCGGAGAAGTACCGAATCTGTTGTATGTAATTTAAAAATAATCCATGAAATATCTTTGAAATTATCATTATTGCAGTGTACTTACATAGAAATCGAACAAGTCCCCAAGACCTATGCAGTTGTCCTGAGCCGTCCATCCTGGCTATGGGGGGCCGAAATGGGAGCCAATGAATGTGGAGTCTGCATTGGGAATGAAGCCGTATGGGGAAAAGAAGAAGTCTGTGATGACGAAGCTCTCCTTGGCATGGACCTTGTCAGGTTGTTATTAAGTCAAACTTTATTAAGTTGTTATTAAGTCAAACAAGGAAAATATTATATGAGGTGGAAAATAAACAACTTTGATATTTGATCTGGAGCAGGAGTGTCAAACTTGATTTCATTGAAGGCTGCATCAGGATTGTATTTGACCTTGGGAGGGGGGGAGGTGATGGGTGGACATGGCCAGGGTGGGTGTGGCCAGCTCAAAGTCGCTCGTGTCGGGAGGGGTGCCTGTAGTGGAAAAGGAGCTCCCTTTTCACTGGCAGAGGCACTGCAGGCCAGTCTTTCGCTGTTTCTAGGGCAGCTCTTTGGGTCATATCTAAGTACCCACGGACCGGATCCAGCCCGTGGGCCTTGATTTTGACACCTGATCTGAAGGGTTTATGAGTAAAATGGGGGCTTACTGTAGAATGGTGCTGCTAAAATGGAAAAACTGAAACATAAGTTTTTGAAGGACTTACTTTGGCCTGGTCCAGAAACTATGAAAGGTACAAGATACTACAGGTAGTTACTGACCCACGACCCTTCGTTTAATGACCACTTGAAGTTATGACAGTGCTGAAAAAAGTGACTTGCAACAATTCCTCCCATTTGCAGCAGTGGTGGGTTGCTCCCGGTTTGGCCCGGTTCGGCTGAACTGGTAGTAGCAGTGGCAGGAAGCCCCGCCCACCCGCCCAGACACTGCTGCGCGGAAGCGCGCCTGAACCGGTAGTAAAAGTATTTGCAACCCACCACTGATTTGCAGCCTTTGGAGGGTCCCACAGTTACATGATCAAAATTTGGGCACTTAGCAATCAGAATATATTTCTGCAGTTGCAGCATCCTGGGGGGGGAGGGGGGGTCACATGATCAGCATTTGGGACTTTCCCAGGTACTTCTGACAAGCAAAGTCAATGGGGGAAGTTGGATTCACTTAATGGCCGCAGTGATTTGCTTAACAACTACAAACAAAAGGTGGAAAAATCACCCATGATTCATTTAATGACTACATCACTTAGCAACAGAGGTTCCACTCTTAATTGTGGTCATAAATCAAGGATTACTTATAGTTCATAAAATCTGATTTTGCTATCAGTTCGAGGATGTCAAATTCTGTCTTTTAAAGTTGAAGATGAAGAATGTTACAGAAAGCTAAACACTTTGATTTGATTTTAGGCTTGGACTTGAAAGAGCAGATACTGCAGAAAAAGCTGTCAGCATTATCGTTGAATTGCTGGACAAGTATAATCAAGGTGGAAACTGTATGGAGAGTGAAATGACATTTACCTACCATAACAGCTTTTTGATAGCAGACAGGAAAGAAGCTTGGATTCTGGAAACATCTGGAAAGTACTGGGCTGCAGAGAAAGTAAAAGGTATGAATAATAACCTTTATTCAATTTTAAGACATCTCAGTGGACAATGTCTGTCTATCATATCTATCAATCATCTATATGTCTGCCTATCATCTAATTTATCATCTCTCTTTCTATCTATCTATCTCCCCCTCCCTCTCTCTTCCCCTTCTCTCTCTGTCTTTCTGTCCCTCCCTCCCCCCCCCCCCGGCCCCCCCCCCCCCCCTTTCAGCCAAGCTATACTGGTAAAAGGGATGTTACTATTACAGTTTTTACAGAAAGCAAGCCTGTTACAATCTGTGGATTCTCTGCCAGCCGAAACTTTAAAAATAAAAAGCAGCTATAATTCTCATTTAAGCCTGAAAGGCTTCTGGGACAATTTACATCCCTTTCTTCAGATTTCTTCAGCACTGAAGAAAAAAAAGAATGGGTGGGAAAAGGAAAGATTTTAGAAATTATTCTTCCTGCAGACGCACTCCAACATGCTTCAACCACATCTGTTAAAAAAAATTACATTGGTGAACATAATGAAAAATCTTAGCATTATATTAAAAACTGGCACACATTTCAATCACCAAGACCTGGCTGCTTTCTTCCAGTCATGTGCTTAATTTCTCTTTAATGCTTAAATTGATACTTGTTGGTTATTTACAGTTTTAGCTGGGAGAAAAAGTCTAGTTTATAATTGACCCAATGTGTTTATTATGGCCAAGTATAATTATTGCAAATGAAGAAGGAGTGAGGCAATAGCACTTAGACTTATATACCACTTTACAGTGCTTTACAGCCCACTCTAAATGGTTTACAGAGTCAGCCCATTGCCCCCAATAATCTGGGTCATTTTACCCACCTTGGAAGGATGGAAGACTGAGTCAACCTTGAGCCTGGTGAGAATCGAACTGCCAAATTGCAGGCAGCCAGCAATCAGCAGAAGTAGCCTGCAGTACTGCACTCTAACCACTGCGCCACCATGGCTCATAAGAAGCGGTCAACTTTCATATTGTTGGATTTAGATTATTTCCAAATTTCTAACAGTAAATAATTTAGACATCTCAATTTAATAATTTTTAAGTAGGTCAGTTTTGTGCAGAAAGATTTGGTGTAATCGCTTGTTTTCTTCTCTGTTTTAAACAGAAGGAACACGGAATATTTCCAACCAGCTATCAATCACAACAAAAATTGACCGTGAACATCCAGAGCTAAGGAATTATGCTCTAAGCAAAGGCTGGTGGGATGGTAAAGAAGTGTTTGATTTTGCTGCCATGTACTCGTATGTAAATACTGCCAGAATGACAACTGCAAGTGGCAGATATTGCGAAGGCTACAAACTACTGAAGAAATATGCAGGTACCTTTGTTTAGTAATAGAAAACCTTATATATGTATTTCCTAGTTGGATTTGGATGTAGTGTTTTATGAGATTCTAAATATTTTTGTTTACCTGAAGGAACAGGATTAATATCTATCTTAATTATATTAGTTTTCCTTAGTTTTGCTTTGACCAAGAGAACTGCATAGTGCTCTTTTATTTAAGATGCATATGTTAAACTCCATAACTTTTTGAATAATCCTTAAGGAATACTGTAGCTGACTATTTATTTTAAACAGCTTAATTTCAGATTGAGGCTCAATAGCATTAAGGTTCATTCTGATGTATATATTAAGAATACCTTGACATCTTCTTTTGGTCTTGAGGAAAATGTCTCATGATTCTTGTTATGGTGATTTCTAATTTGAATGAACTACTGTTTGGAATGAAGGCAAACGTACATATCAGGGGATAATTTTACAGGTTCCAATTTGAGTTGGTCACTGGGACCAGAGGTTTAGTCTTCCGAGCTTTTGGACTTGTGCTGGATCTCATCTTCAGGGAACGTTAGAAGTAGAAGTTCCCTCAGAGGTGGTATTCAGCAGGTTCTGACCAGTTCTGAAGAACCGGTGGTGGAAATTTTGAGTAGTCCATAGAACCGGTAAATACCACCTCTGATTTGCCCTGCCGCCATCTATTCTCTGCCTCCCAAGACCCAGTTGATCGAGAGGAAATGGGGATTTTGCAGAAATCTTCCCCTGGAGTGGGAAGGGAATGGAGATTTTATAGTATCCTTCCCCTGCCACACCCACCAAGCCATACTCAGAGAACCAGTAATAATTTTGAATCCCACCACTCAGTTCCCTGAAGATGGGCTCCAGCACGAGTCCAAAAACCTTTAGTTCCACTGACGACCTAGGCTAGATCCCAAAATACTGTTTTTAAGCTTCTTTTCTGAAGTTTTGCCGTGGTTTTATGTATTGGATAGCTTGGATCATCTACATAGATCCTGAGTCAAATACAGTAAGGGATCTTACACAGCTAAAATGTATTATCCTTACTATTTGTCTATGCAAGGAGTTCCATTTTTTCTAGATATAGAATACACCCTGAATTGGCAACCGAAGCCCTTTAGCTATTTGTTTTCTATCTTTCTCTTTTCTACCTGTTTCTCTTTCCCCATACGTATTTTCTTCCCACATCTCTTTCCCACTGTTTATATTATTTAGAACACGGTTTCTGTGTTTATCCAAAAATAGCTTGCCAGAAACACATTGCTCTTTCCAGTTTGAGCTCTTCATGGGCTAAGATTGCCCATCACCAGATTCTCAGACAACATAATCAATGGCCCTGCTGCCCAGGGATTCTGGAGCTCCAATGTTAACCACACATTTGGAGGAGACAGTGGTGCAGTGGTTAGAGTGCAGTACTGCAGGCTACTTCTGCTGATTGCTGGCTGCCTGCAATTTGGCAGTTCGATTCTCATCAGGCTCAAGGTTGACTCAGCCTTCTATCCTTCCAAGGTGGGTAAAATGAGGACCCAGATTGTTGGGGGCAATAGGCTGACTCCGTTTAGAGATAGATGTAAAGCATTGCGAAGCGGTATATAAATCTAAGTGCTATTGCTATATACCACTTTGAAATATTTCTTCTTTGAAGCTTTGTTAAAGTTTCCAAAATGACTGAGTCAAGCAGAAGGTCATGTTTTCTGCCTTACTACTATCAGTTCCAACAATACAAATCAGAATTACTTGTAAAGGTATGTGTGCTTTGGGGGAAAAAATAAGCCAAACACTGTTGCACCCTTCTGTTTCAATATTAATTTTACTGTGTCCTGCCATTTCCAATTGCAGTAGTTATTTTGGGCTTCCTAGTGGATTCCTTCCCTGTATGATTGTCCTGTAATCATGCAAATTTCATTCATTTCCAGAATTGCAGGTTCTTAATGTTGAACATCTTTTTAATACATGTTTAAGGTTATGGAT